AAGGATTTCCTCAGGCTCAAAATCAGATAACAACAAAGAAAGCAATAAAGTTAAAAAACTGACAGACACAGACAACCTGCTGGAGCAGTGCCCCCTTTCAATCTATGACCAATCACAAAATGACAAATAATTCAAAGCTTCATAAAGATTTGTTTGATTATTTTTTATTTATCAAATAACAGTGATTTCTATAATAACGTATGGCAAACTCTTCTAAACAAAGTGGATCAACTGAGCTCCTCCACAGACATTATCTGAGGAACAGGCCATAGAGACCCATGAAGAGCAATTACAATATTAAACTATAACTATAACACCAGTGCTGCAAATAAGCTGAGAGCAACAAGACAGGAAGTAAAAGTAATGCTGCCAAAGATCATTCATCTTGTGAATTCACGATCATCACAGCAGTACTTTGCACAGTGGGGGGGAAATGATTTGATCCTCTGCTGAATTTGTACGTTTGCTCACTAAGAAACGAACAAGTCAGACGCTTATGGAAGTTTTATTTAAATGGGCGAGACGAAAAAACACAAAAGATTTAAACTGCTTTGCATTTCTCTGATTGAAATAAATATTTGGTCCACCAACAAAACATGACCTACTACTTCCCAGAATTTTGGCTTCTTCAGATTGACAGATTACAATTGGCCAATCAATCAATTACAGACACTCCTGATCTCCACTCTCACTGTACATAAAGCAGACCTGTCCACTGATTCAATTTCTTTCCTCTCCACCACCAAGGACAAGACCAAAGAGCCATCAAAGGAGGTCAGGGACAAGACTGTAGACCTGCACAAGGCTGAGATGGGCTACAAAACCATCAGTAAGACCCTCAGTGAGAAGGTGACAACTGTTGGTGCCATTATTCTGAAATGGAAAAAATATAGTGACCATCAATGGACCTCGGTCTGGAGCTCCGTGCAAGTCGTTGTGTCATGGAGGAACCACACTACGTTGTAACAGATGGGAGGATTTTTCTGGATTTTTGGTCGATATCCTGTCTCTCTCCGTTGAAATGAAACTTCCACACAAATTAGAAACTGTTCATTTCTTTGTAAGTACAAAATCAGCTGCAGATCTAATCATTATTTCTCCCACTATACTGTGCTGCTCGTGCTGCTGTTAAACTAACAGCTGAACATTAGAAATAAGTGAAACTTGAAACACATGTTGGTGTGTTCAGGTCTGACACAACATCCAGCATGTCAGTGGCAGAAAAAGGTAACAGACAACAACAAAGAAAAATAGATAAACCAAATATACATTTCCTTACTTTTCTGTGCCAAGTTTAGATACCTGGAGCTGTCACCACGCCACATCCATGCAGGGTGACTTCTGCTTTGCTTTAGGCGCCGTACTGTCCCGAGCATTATTCAGATCTTTTTAGCTGCATTCAGTTACATCTTTCACTCACTAAATCATCTTCTAAAGCATAATAATAATAATAATATCTATAATAAACACACTGCATGTCTGTGCACGTTTCTCTATCTAAAGTCGGGTTTGACCGGTTTGCTCTGACACATATTAGCTGTCTCACACAGACATGTAGAGAATCACCTTATTCCTGTCATGCTTCACTAACAGGTGAATGTCTGTTTATTTTCAGAGTTAATAAAGAAATGTGCATCTTGTTCCTCTCTGTTGGGATTACGGAAAGGTTTTAAGACTAATTTGAACAGTGTACATGTCTGTAAAATGCAGTTATTGGTCTTCACTGCAGTGTGGGTGAGGATTACTTTAGCTGTTTGAAATCACAGTCTCTGGTTTCTTTCTGTATGATGATGATGTGGCAAATGTATTTATTTTTTCTTCCCCTTATCACGTGGATTAAAATAGATAAAAAAAATAACAGTTTTCCTAAAATGATATAAAGTATATGCAAAATTATTTTTATGGCAAATGTTTTTCAATGTTTCGAACAGATTGAGACACACGCTGATGCCTGTGGACTGATCCTGGAGGACATCCGTCAAAGACACAGACTTCCGGATACTCCCCTGGGCTGAAGGATGCTTTGAGGGACTATAGCTGGTCATGGAGCTGGTGATGGAGCCAGAAAGCAGAATTTTCTTCGGCCGAGTCCCTTTTTAATACTTTGCTATGGAGCATTTTAGTAATTTGCACCTCATCTTGTTGTAGTGTTGCATTAGAGATCCAGTAGCATAGTTTTTATCGCTGTGATATATTAAAGTTCAAAGAAGTGTGCGTCACATGCTTTCTGTGTTGAGTCGAAATTCATGTTTGTAACTCTCCAACAATAAGAAAACGACTTGGTTAGAGATGTCAAAAGTGCCTCGAACCAAAGACCTCTTTTCCTTCCATCTCCATCTACACTCGAAAGTAATCTGTGCACCTGTGTGGTTGTTAAAAAGGCTTGTTTTCTACCAGCACCGCCACATTCTTATTAAATGTCCTCAACTACATCTGTGATCGTTTTCACGTGATGTGGAGCGCTCACAGAGAATGGAACAAAAGGCACCAACATGCAAAGAGGAGCAGAAGCAATGACAGGATCTGCTGTCTGTGAAGCCTTTTTAAATCTAAAGTCACATCAGTTTATCCCACCATGGGAAATTACAACAGAAGGCCCTTTAAACAACCCGAGCTGCACCTAAAAGCACCGTGAATCGCGACACAGCTTGAACCGTAAATAACCATATAGGTGCGCAAAAATATTTCCAGGGTAGCCGGCGTAACCTTGGTGATTCGAAAGCGGTAAGTGGGGCTAACCGGAGGCGCTTTCACCACGCCACAAACGAAAACACAAGTCAGGGAAATCAAACCGGAAATAGCCGGCGTGTTTATGGTTTATGGTGTACGTGGAGAAGACACGGCCATGTGCTCAGCGGTCCTCATGTGGAAATAAGGTGAACATCGTTCTGTCTGCGTGTAGCGCGACCAGTTTACACCTGAGAGCCTGCTGGGTGGTTGCTATGGTGATGGAGTCAGATAAACAGACTCCAGCTGTAAACAGTGTCACCGACCGCACGATCTGATATCGTCGTGTTGGTGTTGTTCCAGGACCAACATTGCAAGTGACCAATCAGAATGTTGTGACGTCATGCGTTTGCGACTACGGGAAAAACTGCCGCAAAACAAAAAACTGTACTTAAGCTGCGAGAAAGCGCCTGTGTCCGCCGATCAACGGACCCTGACCGTTTAATAAACGCTGAGCAGAACTGATACTGTCCTTGCAACA